GCGGCGACGGCCTGGATCGGTCTGCAACTGTTTCTCCCTTGGTCCGATGTCTTGGCCCGGTACCTGCATACAACACATGTGTGTATCTGTTCGTGGACTTGGGTACGGTACCTGCGACCCGACAGTTGACTTTGACCTTTGAATTTCCCCAATCCAGCGCTGGGTCTCACTGGCCAGACGCTGGGCTGGGCCGGGCAGTGCGTGGTCACACAGCCCGACCTCTGCAGAGTGCGGGTTACTGCATTCCTGCCGACCCAATTTCGAGTTCCATCGCAGAAATAATTAACCTTTCAACCGACGCTCATATGCAGAGACAATGTCAGGAGCAGTTTCAAGGAGCTGTTGTTTGCTGAACCACCGATCCTCGGATGGTTTTTGAGTCTTAAATCTTACCTTGAACGGCTTCTGCGGTCGTCCACGCCTTCCGGTGGAGAAGAACCCATGGTCTACAATCCGATCTACTTCATAACTTTCGTTCATCGAAGGTGGAATCATAGAAGGCCTGTTAGGAAACTCATCTCCCTCCACATACGGTAGCAACTTAGAGGCATGGAATACACGGTAGGTTTTGAGATGCGGGGGAATATCAATTTTGTAGGACGGTCCCTCTGCATCTCCAATTACTTTGAGAGCTTCCCAGGGCCCAAAGTAGACAGACAACAATTTCAGTGAAACATCTTCTTCCAAGGAGAATTCATTAGACTTTACCCAAACCATGTCACCTATTTGAAAGTTAGCAGGTCTTCGATGTTTGTTGGCATGGTAAATCATCTGTTCTTGTGCTTTCTCTAGGTTCTCCTTAACTTTCTGGATGTCTTCCTGGAACAGAACTGCATATTCACGAGTCCCTGGCGGTAGCCGTAAAAATTGGTCCCTGGTTAATACATCAATGGGACGTCGCGGCTTCCATCCTTTATGTAGTGCGTTAGGAGTGCGTCCGGTTGCAGTGTGGACGCTGCTGTTATATGCACTAGCTATTTTCGGTAAGTTCTCATCCCAATCAATCTGATCGGGCCTGACATACATGCGCAAGAGCTGTTGGCACAAGCGGTTCATTTTCTTGCTTTGTCCATTCGTTTCAAGGCGGCGTCCTGACGACATGGTCAAATGAGTGTCGTATGCCTCCATCAGCTTTTGCCATGGCATACTTGTGAACCTCACATCCCTGTCAGATATAATAGACAATGGGAACCCATACTCAGTTACCCATCGCATCTGAACCTTCTGGATCACAAGCTCAGTTTTCGCTTCAGCAGGCAAAGGAATAAACATTGCATACTTAGAGAAACGATCGACTACAACCATCACTTGACTGTTACCATTTCGACTCTTGACGAGACTCATGAAGTCCATAGAGATAGACTCACCTGGTTCGCTGGGAATCGGTAAGGGCCTTAGTAGACCCAGAGGGTTTTCATGTGGTGGTTTGTTTCTCTGACATACCAGACAAGTACGCACATAAGTTAGTACATCTTCCTTTAATCCTTTCCAATCGAAGCGTTCTCTTGCTTCTGCATAAGTTTTCTTGAACCCAAAATGTCCTGCAAAGTCATGGCATTCCCCAATCAGCAGACTTTTAATCTCTTCTTTATGAGGAATACACAACCGTTGTTCAGTTTCGTCTATCAAGAAAAGCAATCCATTTGTTATCTTATACTTCGGTAACAGGGCAGGATCCTTAGTGACAAGGTCAATGATGGGTTTCCAGATAGGATCATTAGCATAGCCTTGTCGAATCTGTTCCTGCACATCATTTCCTATATCCAAGTAAGAGACAATGGTTCCAAAGAAATCACTTCTCCTAGACAATGCATCTGCCACAACGTTAGACTTACCTTTGATAGTCTTCAACTCAAAGTCAAAGGTGTCGAGGAAAGCAGACCATCGTACTAGTTTGTCAGAGAGTCTTGGTTGAGTCTTTATCCACTTCAGTGTTGAGTGATCTGAGTAGACAGTGAAGTGCCTCCCTAACAAGTAGTGTTTCCAGGATTTTAGTGCACAGACAAGCGCATACAGTTCCCTTTCGTAAGTGGAGTCGGCGACTTTCTGAGTAGGAAGTCTGGCAGACATGAACTCAATAGGTCTGTAACCCTTACCATCGTCCTGCTGTAGGACTGCACCAATTCCATACAGACTTGCGTCAGTGGTCACAATAAAGGGAAGAGATGGATCAACGATTTTCAGAACAGGGTAGTGAGTCAGTGCATATTTTAACTTCTTCATTGATGACTCACAGTCCTCGTCCCACAACCATATGGTTCCTTTCTTCAGGAGTCTTCTCATGGGAGCAGCAACTAAGGAGAAGTTCCTAACAAACTTCCTATAGTAACTGGCTAACCCAAGGAAAGACCTCAACTCAGTGATGGACTTTGGTTGTGGCCAATCTCTAATCGCTGAAATTTTCTTTGCTTCCGGTCTGAGTCCTTCTTCGTTAACTATATGCCCTAAGTAGAGCACTTCAGGTTTTGCAAACTCAGTGTTCTTTGGGTTAAGTTTAAAATTACCTTCTCGTAGCTTACCCAAGACGAGACGCAAGTGTTTCTCGTGATCCTCCAGCGTTTTGCTGTAGACTAGGATGTCATCGAGATACACAATTACAAACTGATCCAACCACTGTCGAAACAATTCGTTCATAGACCTTTGGAAGGTCGCAGGGGCATTCG